TTTATTTAATTTATTTTAGGTGTAGATTATATACTATGTATAACTTGAATTATACACCAACAACTTTGGGGGTACAAAGTTGAAGAGAAATTATATCTCGGGGTACACGAAGACATCTTAGGGGGTACGTGAAATTTAAAAAAATATATATTATTTTATGATAAACACTGAATAATCAGTAAATTAATTTATTTAATTTATTTTAGATGTAGATTATATACTACGTATAACTTGAATTATACACCAACGACTTTGGGGGTACAAAGTTGAAGAGAAATTATATCTGGGGGTACGCGAACAAAAAAGGTTCAATGCCACTGTCTTATACGATGTCGTCTGAAGAAATTTTCACGTCAGAATTGCTTTGCCACCTGCACGTGCTACATTTCTAGACCACCGAGGTCTACCTTATTTACCAAGTCTGAATCGACTGGAAGATTTATGTATTTAACTGTGTAAATTAGTGTTAAATGCGCGGTCTGTTTTTATTTGAAGCACGTGGAGTTACGCTGGAATATCGAAGGTTTCTTATTGTTTACAAAAGGAAAAAGGCACGACCCGGTTTCGACTACCCTGGTATTTAATAGGACAAGTGACCGAAGATCGAACGCCGAGAATACTGCCAGAGAATAGTTTACAGCATCACCTCTCCCAGAGATGTCGATAGTGAAGTAACGGTTCCTTTGACTCGGTAGAACGTCTTAGGTCACACAGACACGAGGATTAATTAAATAGATTTCGTTTTCGGATGACTGTCAGTCTTTATCTCTGAGAGTTTTCCAGTTCAAACGTTAGTACGTGTTCGGTTGAACGCAAAATTCGGTTAAACCAGACATAACGGAACTTTTTCAACTCGAGTGTCTCAGTTCAGCGTAAACCATTACACTGACGACTTGAAGGCCACAGGCTCAGCTTGAGAAATTCTCTACGGAATGAACGCCACAGAATCAAAGGAGTTTAAACTAACTCGATGAAACAGTCCTTGAGAACCTGATAAGCGCTCATCTGACCGAGAAAATACCCATCATTTTTGGAGTCCGAAGGTTCACCCCTGAACCCCGTCGCGAAGCATATAAATCGAGTTAATATCATTCTATTTTATATTTCTAAGAACTATGTTTTCCGATTAAAAATTCTGTGGATCACACTGATAAAAATGCAAAGTTGTAATATTATGTTTTTTTTAAAAAAAAATTCTCTCTAGTACGCTCTTTCCGTAATCTCATGGAATTTCTGTTAACGCATGAGTGTCGTTTAATAAAGTAGCATATACACTGATTTGGACTGTTTAATGTGATATCAAATTGAGTTAGAATCGTTGGATTCAAAGCCTTTCCAGTCGGTTGTCAGTGAAGCATTTCTTAAAGGAACCATAGAGCCTTTTCGCACGTACTGTAGCCGGGGCGAATGTGCGCGCTCGAGATTCGTTAGAAATTTAAAAAAAAAATACGGGGATCTCACGGGTGATGACGTTATTTTGCAGCTCACATTCACAGTTCATGTTTTCCTTCTACCTGCAAGTTACTGAGAGGAATTCAGATATACATAATCTCGATCAAATCAACCCAGTGGATTGGTACAGCAGTGTTTCGTCAGATTCTTGACGTGACCAACCACGTGCAAGCTGCACAGAATTCGATATTGCGTGTTTCAGTTACCACGAAAAGCCGAGATAATTTTTAAGTAGGCCATGGCAGTTTTATTTGAATAGAATTGCGTGTATTTCACAACCATCGCACAAATTACAGTCTCACCAATTGGTACCCTATAACTATCTCCACGGAGCAGAGGCTTTGGAAAACTTGTAGTCTCAAAGTCTCTCAAATATCTCGCGTTTTATGAAATCTGAAGGTTCATTACCGTGTTCACAACAGCCCATCACTGGACCCTATCACGGGTTAGGATAATTTCATACGTATACACCATGTTTCTTTATGATCCATTTTAATATTATCTTTCTTTATCCCATTATGCAGATTCAGTAAAATAATCAAATAGCCTAATACAAATGTCTGAAAGGCTTTTTCCTGGTCATCCGATGCTATAGTTTCGTATCGTGTGAATTGCTCCAAGCTCTGATTGCAGACAGGTATAGTACGGACCAGATTACTTGGGAGAACAAGGTGACAAGCCCTGCGCGCGCACCTCCACGTTCTACCCGGCCGTTCCGAGCACCGACCGGGCCGTGCCGAGTGCAACTATCCACAGCGCTAGGGAGCTCAGCTAGCAAGTAATCTGGTCCCTACTGTAATTGTATCTTGTATGACAAATGACTGCCGGTAGTGAACTTGGGAAATTGCTATGAAAGTAAAGTGAAATATGGAAACACGACCCTCAGCTACTGACAATTGACGAATTTACAGAGTTAACTATCATCATGGCAGTGGTTGTTAACAGTCGGTAGAATATTCGAGACTTTTGCTTTCTTGTAAGCTGAATGAATACTCTCCTCGAAGTCTTGTTGTAAATGCGAAGAGCCGTAAACATAAATGAAGTATAAATATTTACGCAGTAAGAATGCTGAGTCTGTGTTTTGAACAGGTGCTAAGTGCGAGACCGAACGGTTTTTGTAGAACAACTTTGCCTCTTTCTGCAAGAAGCAGGAAGCCAACCTGAGTGCTGTGGTAGGTTACACGGCGTGCGTGTGGACCAGCTGACGTTTAACCGCTTCGCCAAATCGGTTCCTGCCACAGGGATGGTCCGGATATCTTTACCCACAA